TTTTTACCTCAATATAATAAAGGCCATTTATGACAAACCAACAGCCAGCATCATACTAAATGGCCAAAAATTGAAAGCCTTTACTTTAAAATCAGGCACAAGACAAGGATGTCCTTTATCACCACTCCTATTTAATATAGTACTGGAAGTACTAGCCAGAGCAATTAGGTAAGAAAGAGAAATAAAAGGGGTAAAGATAGGAAAAGAAGAAGTTAAGTTGTCATTGTTTGCAGATGACATGATACTCTACGTAGAAGACCCCCTAAGCTCCATTGAAAGACTCTTAGATACAATAAATAAATTCAGTAATGTGGCTGGATACAAAATCAATACTCAGAAATCAATAGCATTCCTATACACAAACAACAATACCACAGAGAGGGAAATAAGGGAAACTGGACTATTCACATTAGCAAGCAAAAAAATGAAATATTTAGGAATTACTCTTACGAAAGAAGTGAAAGACTTATACAGTGAAAACTATAATACACTGAAAAAGGAAATTGAAGATGATCTCAGAAAATGGAAAGACATCCCTTGCTCATGGATAGGAAGAACAAACATTGTGAAGATGGCCATTCTCCCCAAACTCTTATACAGATTCAATGCAATCCCAATAGAAATACCATCAACATACCTTATAGATCTAGAGAAATCACTCCTAAATTTTATCTGGAACCAGAAGAGACCTAGAATCGCAAAAGCAATTCTAAGCAGCAAAGACAAAGCAGGAGGCATCACAATCCCTGACTTGAAATTATACTACAAAGCACCAGTAGTAAAATCAACATGGTATTGGAATCAAAACAGAGCCGAAGATCAATGGAATAGATTAGAAGATACAACCACAACTACAAACACACTCAACCACCTTATCTTTGATAAAGGAGCCAAGCAGGTTCACTGGAAGAACGACAGTCTCTTTAATAAATGGTGCTGGAAAAACTGGCTCTCCATTTGCCGAAAACTAAAGCTAGACCCATGTCTATCACCATGTACTAAATTAAAATCTAAATGGGTCAAAGATCTGAATATTAAAACAGAAACACTAAATCTATTGGAAGACAAATTGGGTAGAAACCTTGGAGACATAGGAGTAGGTAGAGAATTCATGAATAGGACTCAAACTGCACGGGAAATACTTCCCAGAATCAATAACTGGGACCACTTCTTATTAAAAAGTTTTTGCATGTCAAAAGAAATCTCCAGCATAGTGAAAAGAAAACCCACAAACTGGGAAAAGATTTTAGTGAACTCTCTCTCAGACAAGGGACTCTTGTCTAAAACATATAAAGAATTAAAAAAACTCAGACCTCCAAAATTCAAAGATCTAATCCAAAAATGGGCATCTGAGATGAATACGCAATTCTCAGATGAAGAAATGCAAATGGCAAATAAATACATGAAAAAATGCTCATCATCATTGGTCATTAGAGAAATGCAAATTAAAACCATACTGAGATACCATCTCACTCCTGAAAGAATGGCCAGGATCAAGAAAACCAACAACAACAAATGCTGGAGAGGCTGTGGGGAAAAAGGAACTCTCCTGCACTGTTGGTGGGAGTGTAGACTGGTACAGCCTTTGTGGAGGTCTGTCTGGAGGTTTCTCAAAAAGTTGGGATTGGAAATCCCATTTATTCCAGCTATTCCACTTCTAGGCATATTCCCAGAAGAACTGAAAGCATCATACCACAGGGATATATGTGCACCTATGTTTATAGCAGCACAATTTGTAATCGCCAGATCTTGGAAACAACCCAAGTGTCCATCAACTGAGGAATGGATAAAAAAGTGGTGGTATTTCTATACAATGGAGTATTATTCAGCTATAAAGAAGGATCGCATTGAGATATTTATCAATAAGTGGGCGCAGCTTGAGACCATACTCATAAGTGAAATAAATCAATCTCGCATGTATGAATACCGAATAGTTTCCCTAATGTAAGAAATGATTCAAATATATAAAAATAAGTGATAATCATGATTTCCCATTATGTGGCCTTGAAGCCTTATAAAATTTTCACTTATTAATTAGAAAGGCTTTATTCTGGGCTTTTTGATATGGAAATATTTGAAGCTATAGTATATGAAGTTTTATCCAAATATTTTAAGGAAAAAGACAGACACTATGGTAACTACTATTCTTTAAAAAATTATTTAGCTATTTCTTATGTTTATTTTAATTAAGGGAAAAATTTAAAAAATTAGGATATATAATAGTAACTCTTTTCGATCTCCTATTAACTTGTTTTGACGTCCTGTAATACTCCCAAGATCTTGTTTTGACTGATTAGACTCTGTTCCATTCTGTGCGATAGTAGCAAGTCTGAGGGTATAGGCAACTAATTTGAAGGCAATAAGATTCACAAAGATGCCCATTCTGGTTTGACTATTGTCTCCTTTGGAAGTCCTGTAATGTTCACAATGCCTAAGTTTTATTGGTCTTGTTCTCCACTGTTTTGTCCAACTTTATAATATCTAATGAGATAGTCAATTCCTTTTAAGGAAACAAGAGACAATGTTGATAACCATTGTTAATAACCTTGTACTCTGTTCTACATCATGTGCTATGTCTATCCTTGGTTTTGACTTGCAGCTTTGTTTTGCCATATTTGACTTTATTCTCTCCCCCCCCAAAAAAGTAATAAGAACTAAGGAGTAATAAAATCCAAAATGTGTAAATTTTGTTGTAAAAAAGAGAGGGAGGAAAAAAAAAGAGCTCTAACGGATATAACAGCAAGTGTGTTTAGGTGTGTTAAATAGCTGACTATATTAATGTTTTTGGATCATTGAACACAGCTGTTTGCAGTCTCTCTGTTTGAATGTCTACTTTGTATTCTTTGATACTGTGATTTGAGGAACTATTTCCAAGATGATAATATGTAATCTATTAACAGGTGATTTCTTACTGTTATGTTTTTTTTTTGTAGTTCTGTATTATGTGTAACCTTACACTGCTTTGTTTTGTTTTGTGTTTTTCTCTTTTTCCTCTTAAATAAAAAAAAAAAATTGGCCTAACAATTTTACATTGGCTCTCCCTGCAGAGTTTTGTAGGCTCTATTAGTTTATCTCCACATCCCCATTCTTGAAAAGGATAATCTGTTCCTTTGAAATGGAAATTAAGATACAGACACTATCCCCTTTCGTTTTAGCATAGTGAATTATGCACTCGTGGAAGGTTTAGTAGTACTTGAATTTTCATGTGAGAGTGAAGTCACTACAACTGGGGAAACAAAGTGAGCCAGTAGATTCCAACATTGATATTTTTTGTTTGCTTTTTTGCCCCCAGTTATACAAAGCAGAATAACTTTTCATATTTTTTCTAAGAAATCTCAAAGGATGTTCTTCGTGAACTTGTGCTGTGAATGTACTGAAATTTTGATCTTCTCAGCCACTAAGGCAGATCCCTTTCCATGGCATGAGAAAAGTTGAGAAGGCTGTGTTAGCAATATGGAGAAAAGATAAAAGTTACCTGGATCCATAATGATGGACTGTTATATATTTTTGAGCCAAATATCTTTTATACTTAGTAATTTAAAAAATAAACATCTGTAGAAGTAAGATAAATCTTATTTAAGAATAAATATTGAAAGAGTTTTCGCCATGATAAAAGAGAGAATATAAAGTAAAAATAGCCTTTACTCCAAGGACATGGAGAGAACTCCAAGACCTCCTGCGGCCTGGCTTTCTCTGCCAGAATGTGGTGAGATATAGGATCTATATATAATCTCTGACCAGAGGTGGCGCGTAGAGCGGGCATTGATGAGGCTTGAGGAGCTGATTGACGTTTTCTTCACAGGCAAACAGAAAGAGGAGTTGCAGTTAAGGCTGAGGAAGAAGCAGGGTGTGGTAGGCGGTCCTGCTTTGGCCTTCCGCCACATTAGACCACCCATAGTAGTACAGTAATTTATTCTAGGGCAAGAACCTTTCAAATATTACATAGTAAGTCAGAGTTATCCATACGTAATCTCACAATGGGTCCTTCCAGTAGTTCCTGATGGAGCAGGACAAGGGTCAGACTACAAAATTTCCCTAGGTTCAGAGGTTGAAGTGACTTTGTTCTGTTGAGTACTTTCTAGTATTTTAATCTACATTTTATTAACTAGTGAAAGTGACATACACATTTCAAAAAGTTTTTTTCTCATGATTCCATTCCTTTTGTGTATTAAACAATATAAGTTGTAAAAGTTTGGTAAATCCTGCTTCACTTAATTCACTGTTGTTAAGGCTCAAACAAGAGCTTTTAGAAGACTCCTTTCACAAATAACTAATCCTCTATAAGCCACGGTTATCTCCTGTACAAGAAGGGAATAACAACAGTAATCACAGCACAGGGTCACTGTATGGGCACCATGAGAAACGACATGTGTGAGCTGTGATTGTAAATTATGGTGAATATTTACGTTAAAAATCATTATAGTAAAAGACTCATTGCCATAATCCCATTCAAAACATTCCGTCTCCCTTTGCACACACTTTGTGCCTCTACTTTCTGAAGCCCTTCTGAAAGCCTATAGTTGGTTGCATTGTTTTTGCTACCTTATTGTCTAGAAGTAATTCAAGATGTTTATTTTTGTATTCATTTTGACTTTGGGGAAGAGCTGGAAGGTAGGGTCAGATCCAGTGGATGAGAACACACTGTAATTCTTTTGAGTTTGCCTTTTCATTGGATGTCATGCAGCAGAAGCTTTCACCACTTTTTTTTAATCAAACCTCATAGAGACCCCTGAAAAACTTCTATAACTGCTTCAGAAAGTGGCAAGAATGGTGGAATAAGTATGTTTATAGTATAAGGGAGTATTGTGAGGGGGATTGGTAGGGGGATTGGTCTTTTACTGTGATAAATTATTAAAAATTCAAGCATTTATCATATATTTGATTATATCTCATTTACCATAGGGCAGGGCATATTGTCATTGCTCAAAAATGGCATGTTACATTGACAGAAGTTCATAAAAATGTATGAATATGTTTAGTAATTTCTGATTTTCTCCTAGGTATAATAATAATTTAGAAGATGCTAAAAGAATTGGGATAAAGAAAGCCATCACAGCCAACATTTCTATTGGTGTTGCTTTCCTACTGATCTATGCATCCTATGCTCTGGCCTTTTGGTATGGGACTACTTTGGTCCTCGCAAATGAATGCTCCATTGGACAAGTGCTCACTGTAAGTTTTATGTGAGTTGTAAAAAGAAGTGGGTTACCATTATGGTTTGTCTAGATGTCCCCCCAAAGCCTCATGTGGTTATAGGTGGGGCTTTTCAGAGATCTGGAGTGTGTGATCACCAAATTAGTTCCCTGATTGGTTTGGCATAGTTCTGAGTAGGATTAAGGGTGCCGCACCCTGAGTGTATGTGCTACCCTTTCTAAGGTTAGGTAGCCTGGGCATATATAAGGAACAGAAAGAGGGTTGCTATTGTTGGTTTTTGCTTGGAGCTTGCTGCTTGCTGCCTTTCTGGCTTCTTTTTTTTTTTTTTTTTAATCGATACCAGGGATCGAACTCACGACTGCCTGCTTACAAGGCAGGTGCTTATGCCGCTGAGCTAAATCCTCAGCCCCTCTGGCTTCTTCTTTCTGTCTGCCATGAAATGTTTCACCTCTGCGAGGCTCTCTTCCATGTCACCTTGCCTTGGAGCCAGCCAACTGTGAACTGAAATCTCTTCAAACTGTGAGCTAACATAAGCCTTTTCTCCTTTAACTTTGGGTATTGGGTATTTTTGTCTCAGCAATGAAAAAAATCCCTAACACAGTTACCTTTAAAAATGCTAATGAGTGATACTGGATTGAATTTAGAAGAATATATTTTGAAAGACTATTGAAAATACAAAGAGATATATTACTAATTAGACTGAAAAGCACATTCAGTGCACCTAATAAGCAATTTTGCTGATGTTTTGCAAATTACTTGAACAAGCATTAACATTCCAAATTTCTCTAGCATGAGCTTTTGTTTGATGAGATTATCTCTTTGTGTCAAACCTCATGCTGAGCACTATACTGATATCTTCTGATTTATCCTTTACAAATGGTAAAAATATATATATATATATATATATATATATATATATATATATATATATATGAAGTCTGGCTTTCTTTGAAGTTTTTCAGTGGTAGCTAGTCCCCTTACAAATTTATGAAAGTAAAAGTTGCTACCCTTCAGAAAAAGAAGTTCCACAAGTTTTCTGTATTATATGGCTTTGTATAAGTACAGAAGAGTTTCCCCTTGATGCCAACTTCTTGTATTTAAAGACAGTGAAATAATTTGCAAATAATCTGCTTCCTAACTTGGAGGCATCCAGAATTGTGAATACATAACATGGAACAGACCAATGCTGTTCAGATTCCAGCTGTACGATGTGGATCAGCCATCTTGACCTTCCAAGCCTCTCTTGTCTTTTCTGCCAAATAGACATGACAGGAAAATGTGCCCCAACTCTTAAAATTGTTGTAAGGACTAATTGTGATAATGAATTTAGAAATGTTTAACAAAGCTTCTTCTAGGTAAATTACTGTTCAGTAGAGTTCCTAAATGACTTAGAAAGATGAACAATGACTTAGTTCTCTTCAGCCTTGAGGAGAAACAGTTATCTTTCTGCTTCGTTTTATATTCCTGATGATCTGAACAAAATTTATAACCATGGAAGAAGTAAAAAAAAAAATCCATTAAAATTAGACCACATGTCATTGTTTCATTGAGCAAATGAGACTAGTTCTGAATTATATACATATTTCATAGAAGAGTTAAAATATTTTTTTACATTTTAAAAATTTGTATTCTTTTCAGTTGACAAATCATAATTCATCATAGTTATAATTTTTGGAGTGTAATGTGTTTTGATTATATTGTGATGTGCAATGACTAAATCAAACTGATTAACATCTATCACCTCAATTTACACTTTTATGGTGGTACATTTTAAATTTATTCTGTTAGGTATAAAATGAAATATTCTTAACATTTCCCATCCTTTTTTTGCCTTGCCATTTTTTTTTTTTAATCGGTACTGGGGATTGAACTCATGACCACATGCTTGCAAGGCAGGTGCTTATGCCACTGAGCTAAATTCCCAGCCCTGTTGCCTTACCATTTTAAAGTGGAATGAGGTATGTTGGAAAAAAGTATGAAAAAAATTATAGTAAACATTAACTTGATGGTTTTCCTTCACATCCCTCAGGTCCTATTTTCTGTATTAATTGGGGCATTTAGTGTTGGACAGGCATCTCCAAACATTCAAGCATTTGCAAATGCAAGAGGAGCAGCTTATGAAATATTCAGAATAATTGATAATGTAAGTCTGAACTAGTAATTTATCTGTCTTGGAAAATATTTTCCAGTTAAGAGTCACTACTGTCATCACTTGGTCTTGCTCTCCACAAAGTGTCACTAAAAAGCAGTTATTGTAATATACTAATTTAAAATTTTATTCACTTTAGGAGCCACATATTGACAGCTTTTCAACAACTGGCCACAAACCTGACAATATTAAGGGAAATTTGGAATTTAAAAATATTCATTTCAGTTACCCCTCCCGCAAAGAAGTCAAGGTACGATGATAACTGATTAATCAGTGATTAAACAGTATACTCAGTGAAAAGTCTCTGACACTAAGAGATTAAAAACAAAGGAAAAATGCCTATGCTTTGCAGCCTAGTATTGAACTGCTAATGCTCACACCCTGTATCCCGGTGTGTGAGTTGCCTTGAAGTCTGTCTCCCTTTGCCTTGGTAGATCTTGAAGGGCCTCAACCTGAAGGTGCAGAGCGGGCAGACTGTGGCCCTGGTTGGGAACAGCGGCTGTGGGAAGAGTACCACGGTGCAGCTGTTACAGAGGCTCTACGACCCCACCGAGGGCACGGTGAGCAGGAGGCGGGCACTCAGCATCAGCCCAGCAGAGCTGTCTCATGCTGGGGTGTCAACTACAAATGTGTGGAAAGCTCACTTGTTGTTTATTTCAGGTCACTATTGATGGCCAGGACATCAGGACCATAAACGTGAGGTATCTGCGGGAGATTATCGGTGTGGTGAGTCAGGAACCTGTGCTGTTTGCCACCACAATAGCTGAAAACATTCGCTATGGTCGAGAGAATGTCACCATGGAAGAGATTGAGAAAGCTGTCAAGGAAGCTAACGCCTATGACTTCATCATGAAGCTGCCTCATGTGCGTGGTTCTTGAGCTCTGTGGTTGCAGGGAACTGCGGCCTTGTCCAATCCTTGGGAAATTCAGGAGCTGCTACAAATTGGAGGAATCTCCTAGAAAGGGAAATCAAGATTACTTTGGATTTTTAAAGCTTTAATGCTGTCTACTAGCAGTAATCAGTGTTAGAATCTGGGATGGGTTATTGCTAAGGATTGAAGAGTGGGCTTCTATTCCCTGTGAGGCTTGGATGGTTTAAAGGATGACTTGTCAATGTAAAATGTGATGTGAGATAACTTGTGTTTTTCTAAGTCTTTTGGTAACGTTTTCTGTTGCAGAAATTCGACACCCTGGTTGGAGAGAGAGGGGCACAGCTGAGTGGTGGGCAGAAGCAGAGAATCGCCATAGCGCGGGCCCTGGTTCGCAACCCCAAGATCCTGCTGCTGGACGAGGCCACGTCGGCCCTGGACACGGAGAGTGAGGCGGTGGTGCAGGTGGCCCTGGACAAGGTCCGTGAGCCTGGTGTGCACCAGCTGGTTTCAAGCACAAGGATGTCACACTGTTAGTTGTTCTCAATCTTGGCCTTAGAAAACACATTTCTGGTACCTTCAGGGTATTTCTCTTTACTGCCTAAAATAAAAGCAGCAAGCCTGGAATTTTGTGTTTGTTCACTTGCTTGTTAAACCTCTCTGCTTCTTGGATTTTTTTCAAGTAGCAATGAATATGTAAAAATATCTATAAATCTTTTAAATTCAAAATTAAGAAATATAGACCCAAAAATTGGTGTTTATTTGGATCCTGATAATTGCTTCAGCTTCCTTTTTCGGAAAACTATAGCTTTCTTTCCTTTTTTTTTTTTAACTATAGCTTTCTTTGTAGAGGTTTTTTACTTCTTCAGTTAGGTTCATTCCTAGGTATTTTATTTTCTGTAGAAACTCCGAGCCTACTAGATGTTCAGTTCAAGTTTATGTTCTCTAAAATTGAAGAATGAATTTTAGGAACAGTGGAGACTAAGAGTAGAATATGTTTATTGAGAGAAACAAAGCTTCTGTCTGAGACAGAGACAGAAAGGGTCCCAAGTGTGTTGCCAAAGACTCTGTCTTTTCTGGGGACTTTTATAGAGCAAAACCACGAGGTGAGATGAGTCCATGGTGGGAGAAAAATGGAAACTTGCAAGGCAGGTGGGCATGAGGTGGCACAGAACTATGGTCAACCAATAAGATTACAAGTATAATTGCTCAGGTAAAATTTATTAAATTGGGATCACGAGTCATGAATACAGAATAGGTTCTTTGCTGGTAAGGGATTAATGGCTCCTTCTGACTTCCTTAAAGTGGTTGATATCTATTTAGATTATGAATCTCTGATATTTATACTTAGAGTGTGGCTGCATTCCTTTCATCTTTTGTCTTGAGATCTGGTCCAAAGCAGAGGTGTCTGTCTCCTCCAAGTTTGCAGGGTATCTGCTCTTCTGTACTAGGTTCTTTGAGGGCCCAGCCCTTCTGACTGCCTATAATATTTCTATCTAGCTCAGTTGCCTATAATACTACCATGAATGATATTGTTTTTATAATTTCCTTCTCACTGAGTTCATTATTGGTATATACAATGCTAATGATTTTTGTGTATCTTGGTACACTACTGAAGTTGGTTGTTAATATTAAGAGTTTCTTGTTGGAGTTCTTTGAGCTATCTATATAGAGTATCATGTCATATGGGAGTACTGATGATTTGAGTTCTTCCTGTCCTATATATATCCTTTTTCTTTCTTTCTCTGGCCTGATTGCTTTTGCTAATGTTTCAAGTACTATGTTGACCAGAAGGGGTGATGGTGAGCATCTATGTCTTGTTCCTGATTTTACAGAGAAAGATTTTAGTTTTTCCCTATTTAATATGATGTTGGCCATTGGTTTGTCAAAAATAGCTATTATCAAATTCAGGTATGGTCCTTCTATACTTATTTTCTTCAGTGTTGTTACCATGGAAGGATTTTGGACTTTGTTGAAAACCTTTTCTGCGTCTATTTTTATGGTCATTTTTTTTTACGTTAAGTGTATTGGTGCACATGATTACTGCATTTATTACAGGGAATTTGTATTCGTACATGATATAACATGATTCTTTTTTTCCCTATTCCTCTACCCTCTTTTGCTTCTGTTTACGTGATGTATTATCTTTACTGACTTATGTAAGTTGAATGATTGATTGTCTCACCTCTAAGATGAAACCCTGTTGGTCACAATGTAGATCCTTTTGTTTTTGTTTTTATTTTTGAGCCAAAGTCTCACTATCAGTGCAGGGTGGCCATGAACTCATGGTGCTCCTCCTGCCTCCACCTCTGGAGTGACAGGATTACGGGCAAGTTTTACCACACCCAGTTTGTATGATCTTTTTGATAGTATGCTACATTCTGTTCACTAGTAGCTTGTTGAGGACTTTTGCATCTATACTCATTAATGGGATTGGCCTGTAGTTTTCTTTTTTTTTTTGTACCGGAGATCGAACTCTTGCCAGGCAGGCGCTTACACTGCTGAGCTAAATCCCCAGCCCCTTGTAGTTTTCTTTTTAATAGGATCTTTATCTAGTTGTGGAATTAGAGTGATGCTGGTTTCCATAAATGAACCTGGAAGCACTCCATCTCTATTAATTTCTTCGAAGAGCTTGGTGATACAACATCCTCAGAAGTGTTGTAGAATTCAGCATTTAATCCATCAAGTCTTGGCCTATTTAGTTGGTAGATTCTTTATTATTGCCTCAGTTTCATTGCTTGTTTAGCAATTTTGAGTACTTTTGGGTTAGCTTGGTAATTTATGTGAGACCAAGTGTCTGTTCATTTCTTCAAAGTTTTACAATTTGTTGGGCTATACTTTCTCATAGTAGTTATTATTGTCTGGATTTTGACTGTTTCTGTTGTGATTCACCATTTTTATTTCTAATTGCATTGATATGAGTCTTTTCTCCCTTTAGGTAAATTTGGTTAATGGCTTACTTGGTTTATTCTTTTGAAGACCAGATCTTTAATTCATTGATTGTGTTTTTTTTTTTTTTAACTTTTAAGTCTGGATTTCATTGGTTTCTGCTCTAATCCCTTATGGATTCCTTGTTTAATTTTGACTTGGGCCTGGATTGTTCTCAACTATTTTAAAATTCCATATAAAGCTATTTACTTGAGCTTTCTCTGATTTCCTAATGTGAGCATTGATTACAATATACTTATTTCTTAGAATTAAATTTGGTGTCTTAGAAGTTCTGGTTAATTGTACAGGCATTGTCATTAACTTCCAGAAATTTATTCTGTCACCAATTGCTTGTTTAGGAGGATGTTTTTAATTCTACATGGCTTCTTCTGTTAGTGATTTTTAATTTTATTCCACAGTGGTCTGAGAGTACACTTGGGATAAGTTGAAAATCAGGCTTTGTGGATTAGTATGTGATCTCTTTGGAGAAAGTACTATGCGCTGCAGAAAAGGATGTATATTCTATTACAGTGGGGTGGAATACTCTGTACACACTTATTAAATCTATATGCTCAAGGCTGTGGCTTGGCTATGATATTTCTTTTATGAATTTTTTTTTGTTTTGTTGATCTATCTTTTTGCAAAACTGTGGTGTTAAGATCTTCACTATGATTGGGCAGGTGTTTTGCATGAAATGTCCTTATTTCTCCATCTATTTTGAAACAAAATTATGCTGCGTATGTTGTATAGGTTACAAGTTGTTTGTGCTTAGGGAATGAACTATTTCAATCTCCTCTGGCATGTAAGGTTTGTGCTGAAAAATCTGCTGTAATTTTAATGGGTTTAATTTTATATGTGATTTTTTTTGTATGAGTGCTTAAAATTGTGGCTTTTTGTTGGATATCTAGCAATTTAAAAAGGATATGTTTTGGTGAGCTTCTTTTTCCTGTCATAGTCATTTGGTTTTTGGAAACCTCACCTGCATGTTGAACTTGCATATGGAAGTTTTCTGCTATGATATCTGTAAACAAATTAATAATTCTATCTGTGTTATTATTTAACTTTTATTTAACTCCATTAGCCTTAGGTTGGTCTTTTTCATGTCATCTAGTAGCTGCTGGTAGCCTCTTCTTGTTCCCTCTCTTTTTGTGTGTGTGGCTTCTTTGAGTAGTTCTTCATAATTTACCGTTTTGTCCTCACCTTTGGACATCATCTTTACATTTGGCAGTTCTGCGATTTATAAATTCTATATAGTATAAAAAATTATATTTCTAATTTAATTAGAACATCTTTTCATGGTCTATCTCTTTGATGAATTTTTCATTCCTAATTTGAGTGGCTTTGGTCAGTGCTTCTAATTTTTAACTTATTTTCCTCAGATCGACTTTGAGGATTTTGAGTGATAATTCCATGAAATTTTTATTCATTTTTTCTTTGAACCTGTCATTTCTTCATCTCATCTATAACCTTTTCATATATTTACTTTTATCTCCCCTTAGGGAAGTTGGGAGACCTGAGCAGTCCTGTTTCTGTGCTTTCCCACAATCCTGTGTGTATATATATTCTTTTTATTGTTTATGACACCGGGAAATATATATATTGGCATAGAGTGAAAACCAATAGTCAGTCACTACTATGTTGTCTTAGTTGTAGTAGAAAAACTCAGTGAAAAAAATGGCATCAAATGTCAACTGAATATTGACAACCACTAATGAACATTCCTAAACCAGAACAAAATGGACTATGATTTTATTGAAGACAATTAGGTCAACCATATATTTCTCTATAATACATCAGCACTAATTTTGTCATATGTAAGGAACAGTGCCAGAGCTCAAACATGCTGTTAGACTAATCACCTTCTTCAGGACTAACCTGTCTGATAATTTCACCTCCTAAACCTGGCCTTCCACAGCAGAATACAGGCCCCATGATCTTCCTGGTCTGAACCCAGGCCTCCCAGAGATCCCTATTTAGCTTTCACCCTCTCTAATCCTGTCTTCCTATGCTGTCACTTACCAGTCTCTGTGGTAGGGTAATGTTTCACTCTTTAAGCAAAACTGCCCTCTTGTTTTCCAGTACCTTGTTGAGGATTTTTGCATCTATATTCATTATAGGATTGGCCTATAGTTTCTTTTTGAGTCCTTGTCTTGGCTCAAGGTAATACTACCTTCCAGGAATGAGTTTGGCAGTGCTCCTTCCCTTTGTATATCATTAAAGAGTTTGAGAAGTTTTCATGCTATATTTTCCCTGAAGTGATAGAATTCAGGTAATGTGTGCATGGAATAATATAAATTCTTTTACTTAAGTTTCCTTTATGAATTAGTATGTAATCTGGGAGAAAGTCTCATCAGCTGCTGAAAATAATGTATATTCTGTTGTTGTATATAAAACTTTATAGATATCTCTTAAGTCCATTTATTCAAAAGTTTTATTCTTGTGATATTTCTTCATTGATATTTTTGTTTAGTTGATTTATTTTCCATCATAGTGGGATACTGAGGTCCCCCCCGTAATTGTTTTTATGTCTGATCTTTTATATTCATTAGCACTATTTTAAGAAGTTGGGTGTGGCAGTTTGTGGTGAATACAATAATTGTCTCCTCCACTTGGATTTTTCCTTTAACCGGTATGTAGTGACTTTGTTTTCCTCTTTTCATCCATTTTGGCTTGATAACACTTTGTTCAATTCTACTTTGACTGAACATAAGATATTTATACTTGCTTTTGTTTTGGGTTCCTTTTGCATGGAATATTGTTTTCAATCTTTTGACTTGTAGCCTGAGTGTCTTTTGGGGTTAAATAGTTTCTTGTGTGCAGCATACCATTGGATTTTGTTTCTTGATCTATTCTACCAATCTGTGTCTTTTGATTGGTGAATTGAGACCATTTAAATTGAGAGTTATTACTAACAGATATTGACTCAGTACTGTTACTCTTATTTTTCTGTTGCTGATTCCCTGTCTTTTTCTTCTCTTTAACTGCTCATTCTACCTGGTATATTCATTCTATTAGCCCTAATATCATTGTTACCTTGGCTCTTTCCAGAATATGAAAATTTTTTGGAGTTCTGGCTTGTTGATAATGAATTTCTTTAGGTGCTCTTTATCATGAAAAATATTTTATTTCTTCATAAATTCAGAAAATATTTTTGCAGGATCTGTCAACCTGGGTTGAAAATTATTCTCTTATAGGGCTTGGAACATTTCACAGTGAGCTCTTTGGCCTTTAAGGTTTGCATCAAAGTCTGCTGTAATTCTAATGTATTTACCTTTATAAGGTATTTGTTGCTTTTTCTAACCACTTTTAAAATTCTATTCTTATGTTGAACTTCTCAGGTTTTGACTTTTATATGTCTTGCAGAGATTCTGTTTTGCATGTGGCTATTTGGGATTCTATGAACCTTATATATATATGTAAAGTTGTTTTTGCCCCTTATAAGGAAAGTTTTATACTAGAATTTTAGTAAACAGATGTTTTATGTTATTTGTGCCATCTTTGTTTTTTCACTAGTTACAGATAATCTTAGATTAGTCTCTTTTGTATTATCTGTTGAGTCCATTCTTTCATGTTCTGTTGTATTTAAGGTATTTCTCATTGATTGGTCACTGACAACCTTGTCTTCTAGATTTGGCAGACCTCATATTGTTTGCTTCTGCTACCCACACCTTGATGGAATTTTTAATCTCCTTAATTTCTGTTTGAAGCCATTTTATAGATGCTTTTCTGTACTGGTCTTTCATGTTTTACATCATTTTGTTGTAACCTTTGTATTAGTGTCTTCTTAGACTCTCTCATTTTGTTTACTTGGTCCAATATCTCTTTGCTTATATCTCACTGAGTTGGCCAAACATTTTATTGATTTGTTTTGTTTTCTCCCCTAATATCGTTCCAGATAACTTGCCTTTGGCTTTTCCTTATTTGATGCCCCATGGATCAGCTTAGGGGAGACAGGAGCTTCTGGAGGTGTTTTGTTGACTTTTCTTCTAGCGTCTCTATTTTTGCATTGAGGCTTATAGGTTGATTATAGTGGAAAGCTTGTGTTTAATACCAAGACCTCTTTAGTTAATGTCTACTTTTCAGCTTTATTCTATGGATTTAGCTAACTATTGACCTTTACCTCTGTTCCAGAGTCCAGCCACCTCTGTTTACTTGGGATTGGGAGGTTGCAGCATATTTGGCCCAGTTTCCAGTTCCCTAGGAATGGGCTGCAGCACTATTAATAATTCCAAGGCAATTGCTATTGACATTTCACAAAAACCAGTTAGTAGGAACAGCTATGTCACCTTGGCTATAATAATAAAATGAGTGTCCATAATAGTATCAAAGACAAACTGAATGTTGACAAGGCTTTTAGGACCAATAATGTACCACCTTTTACCATAGAAAAGAGATCTGTAAATATAGTATGCAACCTAATACTAACCTATCTTTGACCTGTGGTAAATATCTACTGAATGGTACAACTTTATCTCTGGTAACAGCTGAAAAGTACTGAATAGCAATAGCATAAAGTTAACTAGCTATCTAGAGATCCATAATGCTCAGTAGTTATATTAATAAAGGTAGAGGGGGTGGGTAACCAGAGATGAAAAGTGAAATTTAAGAAATTAAGAAATTAATCAATGGGTAGTTCTTTGAGGTAGAACGTCATGATTCTTAAGACTCATTCCAAGCAGCATATTTCAGTACAGCGTGTGGCCCATGTTTGTTTTTATTGGTCAGTGCCTGAGCTTTGTTATTTTGTAGACGTCCATAATTCTTACTAAGCATTTAGGCTGACAGACATTAAATAAGTCACACAAAGACATATATAATATCAATACTCAGGTGCACTTTACATCATGATCAAGTCACTGTACGTTTTTGAAATTAGAATCTATAGATTCCATACTCACCAGTGCATCAGGGTTCAGTACATACAGGTTCAATGAGTAAATTTTTGCATGTAATGAATAATGTACTGAAAAGCCACATTGCTGTCTTATTAGGCCCGAGAAGGCCGGACCACCATTGTGATAGCTCATCGCCTGTCCACAGTTCGGAATGCTGATGTCATCGCTGGGCTTGAGGACGGAGTCATTGTGGAGAGAGGAAGTCATGATGAACTCATGAAAGAGAAAGGCGTTTACTACAGACTTGTCACAATGCAGGTATACTTTAACTCCAGAGTTTCCCTAACGTTTTTGGAGGAGATAAGCTGAACTAGCCCCATTTTCTGTTGAAACCAAATATTACTCAATTTATCTAGAAAAGTAGAAAGAAATACTTGATGAATTCAGCAACATACCAGTGTTTTAGATTTTTTTTCTTGAAAAGAGAGGCATTAAAGAAAGATAATGAAAGAAAAAGAGGTATTAAAGAAAGATAAATAAAGAACACTCTATCAAGGTTAAAGATGAGCTACCCACTAGTAGCCATTAGCAACATGTGGCTGCCGAGCATTTCAGTTGTGATTAATCTGAATTAAAATGTTCTAAGTAGTAAATGTAAACCAGATTCTGGCCTTTTATTACATATAGTAACACATTAAAAACATCTCAAGGGATTTATATATTGATCACATGTGCAAATGATAATATCATTGGATATCAATAGTATCTTGGGTATATTAGGTTAAGTGAAATATATAGATAAAATTAATTTTACAATTTTCAAATTTTTATTATAACTGTTAGGTAAATACAGTTGAGAAATGTGGCTCAGATAAGGATTTGTGCTATATTTCTGCTGACAACTGTGGCCCAAAGCAAACTTCACTGAGGCTGAATATCCACAGAAGACGATGGCTAGATAAGATACACAGAAGACATGCACTGTGTGTCTTATTATATTCAGTGGGAATTTTTCTTATTATGGTCTTCTTTTTTAAATGTGTTACAGAAAAAGAAAAGCAGTTTAACTTCAATCTGTTTTATAAGTACTATCCCTGCATGACCATTTCCATGGTATTCAGTGTTCCTTAATCAGACTCATTGGTCAACTAAGCCTTTTGCATATTCTTTCTTTCTTTCTTTCTTTCTTTCTTTCTTTCTTTCTTTCTTTCTTTCTTTCTCTTTCTTTCTTTCTTTCTTTTGTTCTTTCTTGTTTTAGACAATAGAAAGTGGAGACGAATTAGAAAATGAAGTTTGTGAATCTAAAAGTGAAAATGATGCCCTGGCAATGTCTTTAAAAGGTTCAGGATCCAGTCTGAAAAGAAGATCAACTCGGAAGAGTGACAGTGGATCACAAGGACAAGACAGAAAACTTAGTACAAAAGAGGCACTGGTATGGAGGAGGATGCTCCATCTTTGTCCTAGTTGTGTGGGCTCCTACTTTGTTAACAATGGAAACAAAAAATGATTTTCCAAAATAAATTTTTCTGATTATACGCCAGATTGTTCATGAACCAGAAATGTCAACAGTTTACAGTCCATTTGTAATTTAAGAATAAAAATTTATAGGAAGTTTTTTTAGAATTAACATTTATAAAGAGACTTAGTAGATCTTCAAATATTAAAATTTCTATTCTGTTCATCCCTACTTACAAATATTTTTGTCATTTTTTAAATATCAGGCCAAGGGTTAAATATTTGTAAAAATATTTCGTAAAAATGAAATGATACCATAATAGAGTTTGTCAGTACATTTTTTGAAGCTGAAGATCCATCAATTGACAAAGAATTTGATGCATTTACTTTATAGATTTCTGCATTTGCACAAACTATACATCATGAAATCATTTTATCAATTTTTAAAGTTTGTAGTATTTTATGTTTTCTAGGAAGAAAATGTGCCTCCAGTTTCCTTTTGGAGGATTTTAAAGCTGAACATAACAGAATGGCCTTATTTTGTGGTAGGTGTTTTTTGTGCCATTATAAATGGAGGCCTGGAACCAGCATTTGCAGTAATATTTTCAAAGATTGTAGGGGTAAGTTTGTATTTCCAGTTTTTGTATTGGCTTGTGAATGCTGATTGAAGAATTAATGAATTACTTGTATTTGTAGCAGTATATGTAAGCCAAGAAAATTATGTCCCTACTTATGAAACCAACCTGATTGAAGGTGTAGGAATATAAGTCTGGTTTATGGGAGATAAGCTCACTTTATAAACCTTTGTCCTGGTTTCTAACCCAGGACCTTGTTGATTTCCTTGCATAAGCTCAGAGTACCAGTTCCCTAAAATAGTAAACAAAATCAGTGAGATGACTTTTCCATACCTGCCACCACTGGGCTCTAGGCAAAACCCTCAGTCTTCTGCTTTGAACAAAGGGTTTTCCTTAAGTCTGTGTTAGATTGGCTTGAGACGGAATTTCTGTGTAGCACACTTACTTGGTAAGACATGACCAGGCCAAGCATGCCACCTATAATTTTCATCTCACTCCTTAAGAATGAAATAAAGAGACAGCTTCCTAAAGACACTGGCACTGACATTGACATGTTGCTTCCACCTGATTTTAGTGGTGCCATTTTCAAAAAACAGGATCTAGAGAGTCATGTTCCATGTTTAGGGAGAGATTTTTCAAACATCTTTGCCAAGCATAAGCCAAACAGTAGCTTTTGATTCTACAATAAAAAACAAAGACAGCATGCTTGGCTAGGCCATTTCAGGTTGTCATTCATGTTTAATATATTCACTCAAAAAAATCTCTTTTCAGCTGTTGACTGTACCTCAATTGCAGAGAGCTTGCATTTCAGATATAAGGTCTTGGGCTCAAGCTTCTGTACTGAAACAAATGGAGGAAATTTCTCCATGGTCTGCTTTGTGTCAGGTCATTTTATATGTCCTGAAAATTTACTGAGAAGCAGATAAAATTTCTGATTCTGTGGAGCATACACTGTCATCTAGGCAGGGAGCATCAGACTTTTCCTATACAAGGGAAGGCAATTCATTCTTTAGGTTTTGCAACCAGTATTATTGCCATTGCAGATCTTGTACTCTGCTTTTGTGGAGCAAAATGCACCATGTACACCATGAAAACAAATGAACATTTCATGTATATAAACATAAATATTTAGCCAGTGGCCCATAATTTGCTGATCTCTGTTCTGACATGTCTTGCAGGCATGGAGGTAGACAGTGGTGTCAACAGAGGAAAAAAATGAAAGTAGATAAATTAAATATGGATTTAGCTCCTTTTCAGAAAAACTCAGTTTATGGAATTTTTTTTTTGCATTTTTCTTGTGCCTCATACAATAGTAAACCTGGAGGTCAGTGATCCAGGGATGGTACATCAGCTCCTAGATAACAGCTAGGCAGCCAGCCCATTGTAAGTGGTAGACTCTGAGTTGCATTGCTTAGGTTTGTGTCTTGGAGTCACCCCTGGCTGGTTGTGTTATGTTTGGCAAATTAACTAATCTCTGTGCTTCAGTTTATCTATGTATGAAATGGTATGCTAATAAAACAAAGTTATACAAATGGATAAGGGGATAAAAGAAAGAAAATATATAAATTTGCCTAGAGTAATGTCTAGTATAAAGTAAGAATTTAATTATTTTCAGTAATTATTTTTGCTGACATGACTACTAAAAAAACAGTGATATAATGTCTTATAATCTTTCATTTTTATTTTGGTTTTTCTGAGACAGGGATTCATTATATAGTGCAGGTTGGGTTTAAACTCAGGCACCCCAGGATGGCCTCAAACTCTTGGTGATCCTCCTGCCATAGCCTCCTGAATGCTAGGATTATAGGCATGTGCCACTATACCCGACTTCCATTTCTTTAAAGGATGGAATTATCTGGGTTGAGTTTGAAGTGTTTCTCTCTTCCAGTACTGATTTTTTTTCCCTTGAACCCATCATTTTCTACAGCCCTTCTAACCATCTTCTTAAAACACTTCCACATATGGTACTCAGGCAGCTGGCTTTAGTACCTGACCGGCTGACTGGTCATTGTACAAGTAATACTGCTTCAGGAACTCTTTTTCTTTATGGAAATCCTGGACTGAGTAAACAAACACCTCTCTGTGGTCCCAAAAACCTCTTCATCAGATGTTCTCCAAACACCTTAAGACAGTTTGAAATGTCCCCATAGTGACAATGGATTGGCATATAATATAGTTCCTTACCAGTGACAAGTGTTTCCATTTCTAATTTTACACAGTAGAATAATACACCTTACTCCAGGAGTAAGAATTATTGGATCGATTTGCGAATCACAGTCCCTTTCTTGGGCTTAATGTAGATGTCTCTGAGGGCAGTATTAGGAAAGCCAGTCCTGATTTCCAGTGTTCTAACGCTCTTCTCACCCTAAAAACCATTCCAGTGGTAAATGAATCAGACTGAGAGTCGCTTCTGAGTGAACTAACAACCCTTTAAATATTTCCTCACAGCTGTTCTCAAGAAATGATGATCCGGAAACAAAACGACAGAACAGTAATCTCTTTTCACTATTATTTCTAGTCCTTGGAATGATCTCTTTGATTACATTTTTTCTTCAGGTAAATGTCTCAGTTTTACCTTTGTTCATCCTGGGGGAATTTATAAACATCTGTATAGATTTTCTTTTAATAGAGTTGCTTTCTATGAACATTGCTATCAACAGCCAATTGTTTGTCTTCTTTGGCTCCCTTGTTAACCTTGTCCCCCATCACCACTCTTACCTAGAAATACTGATGACATCAGAGAGAATAGGTAGTTTGCTCTCAAGTCATGCTTAAAATGAAAGATAATACATTAAAAAGGCCTCAAGGAAGCTCTGGATATAATTTTGGGTGTAAGTATTGATGGTCAACTTTAATAAGTGTCTAGCGAGATAATGTATGTAAAGTACATTGTCAGGAAGGATAGCTCTCAACAAAAATAGCAGGAGTCATTTTCCTGCAGTGGCCAAGCCAAACTACATTCTATTTAGTTCAGTGTTAAAAACTCTTGTGTGCTCATCCCAAGTAAATATAAGCACTAGTAGTTTTAGTACTAACCTCACTGAATCTAGGATTCTTCCCTTCTCCTCCATCTCCTTGCATGGACAATATGTCTTAGCAGTGAGTTATGTAACTGAAGCTTTGTGGGCAGCTCACTGGTCTTTGGACTTTGTGTAGCCCCATCATGCTGGTCCATGGCCTCCTTATGGCCTTCAGTTATTGTAGAGATGGGCTATTACAATTATAGAGATGGCTCTTGCCTCACTTGTGCCCTTTGCATGTGTTTCTTCCCTCCCACTAAGTGATGTCCAGCCTGGTGCTTGGGAGTACCAGGAAGGTTCTGGTGCCTCTTTCCCTTTCTCTGATTTTGCGGGAATAAGGTTACTATCGGGGCATCTCCTCTTCTGATGCCCCACGCAACCATTTTCATCTGCTTCCCCAGGCCTTGCCTCTGCCAGCTGTTCCTTCCTGGTTCCACGGAAGGAAAACACTACCTTTTAGTCTTCTCTCCTAAGTTCGTCAGAATGAGGATTCTGTTCTTATTCCCATATGTGGTCTAGCTTGGCAGCATGCTCACAATTTTATTATTTCCCAGTAACTCTATTTCATCCTCTGAGACACAAATTATTAAAGCCTAAAATGATGGGAAAGTACAGTGGAGAGAACTCTCTGAGCAAGCCTCTAGCTCAGCCTGTTTTGCCTCCAGAACATTGGGTTTTGCTTTTCATTTGACCACTAAGAGTTTGAGGGTGAGGAACAAGGATACAAATTGAATGCTATTCTTGGCAACTTTGAAACCTCTTGATTCAAAGGAAAGCAAAAATAAATAAAAAGACTGGGGACATAGCTCAGTACTGCAGCTCTGGTTCAATTCCCACTGCTGTCCAAAAAAAAGATATTTGATAACTTTGCACTCTATATCTTTTAAAGTCTGTTGTGACTATAAATTCATGTTTATACAGACTATACTTAAGTCCTCATGTAATGATTAACAGTGCCCAAGTTAGAAGATATATGATATAGTCTCTCAATCTTGGAAAAAATACCAGCTTCCTGAGTGACATGACAGATCCATGTTCCCTGAGAAAATAAGTGAGTCTGATTAAGAGAAACAAAGAAGCATGTTTTCTATAAATTTTTTACCTGCCTGTCAGCTCACTGCAAACAGTGAGACAATTTCAAAACCTGACTGGTGTCTACACACCAGTGTAGCCTTGCACTCTGCTCTGTGGCACATAGTCACAGGAGTGCAGTCAGCTCTGGAAATCAGGCTTTCCAACTTTGTCTAGTGTCCTGCCTTGGCTGTGACATCAGGCTCCTGTCCTTTTGTGTATCGGGTGTTGGAGTATCTGACAATCCTATGTGATCTGTTCTTTTGCTTCACAGGGCTTCACATTTGGTAAAGCTGGAGAGATCCTCACCAAGCGGCTGCGGTACCTGGTTTTCAGGTCCATCCTGAGACAGGTGAGTCTGCTGATGAGCCCTGGGATGTGTGAGAGTCCCCCTGGCACCCAGGATGCAGGCGGTGGAGCTGTCCTGCTGCTGACGCTGCTGACTTGTGTTGGGCCTCCTTCAATCTCAGAGATGGCACAGAACCATCCACCGGTGCAGGCCCAGACCCTGCAGTCTGTTTACTGAGGATGAGTCCCATGGCCTGCACTGGCTGGACACAACAGGAGTCTCCTACCTGGATTCACCTCCAGCCTTTTATCTCAGCAATTGTAGGCACTGTAGGCAGAAGTGATCATCTCTGCCCCCTCAATTTTGCCCTTTCTTTTCTCTTTTCCCGTGGAACATCCAGGATCCTTCATCCTGGTTTTTGTCCACCACAGATTATACAAATCCAAATTTATCATCATGGCTCATTTCACATTTTCCAGTGACTTTGAATTAGTAAAATAACATACTAATTCAAGTTGCAGTTTTTTTGGGCAGATAATAGCTCAACGGAACGCCTCTCACATTTTGTACTTTCATGACTCTAACAATAGACAATCTGGATGTTTTCCTTAGGGGGATAAGGTTTGGAGAAAAGAGAAACCTAGTTCAAAGGATGTTTGTTTTGCATCATAAAAATATTGTGTATTTAAAATAACTTTTCTTTTAAAATCCCTAATCACTTGCCATTGACTAAAATGGTGCATAGGATCCTGCCTCAGATCCCCTGGTGGAAGCCTGTTTGCTCTGTTAGGATTTCTGTAGGACATTCACATCTTTCCAGCAGTCTTTGATTCCATTGTCCTTTCTGCCTCTTCCCACCACCACTTAGGAAGACATACTTCTATGAACTAAGAGCTAGTAATGCAGAACTATGACTGAATCTGCTGGTGAGAGGACACTGTTTGTTGGGTATCCTGCCCTATTTTGTCTTTCAGGCCAAATCTCATATGTAATCAAAGTTCTACTTGGGCTCAAGGTTGACTTTGCTCCACTGCCAATGCTCTGTCACCCTGTTGACCCTGGGCCGTCTCATAGATCTAGTGTGACTGGGAACTGAGGAGACAGATTAGATGATGCCTTTTCCCCAAGGCGTTGAATGGGACAAACATATCTTAAGGCCTTCTGTTTAAAAGGCAGCATATTGAATATTGAAAGTCTTTCAGATCTGAATGGTTTCTGTCTTCAAGAAAGTCCCATTCTGTTGGGAAAACCCTGAAGCTCGTGAGTATACTAGAAAGCAAATTGATATTTGCTATAATGAGTTACAACACTTTGTTTTTTTCTCAAATATTTTAGATAAAAATGTTAGCTATGGTCCAGGGTCAGTGGCACAGCACCTTCCTGGCAAGCACAAGGCTCTGAGTTTGATTCCTGGTACAAAAAAAAAAAAAAAAAAAAAAAAAAAGAGGTAGTTACTTTTTTTTAATGCAAACCAGTAGTTTAGATACTTTTTAGGGACCATAATCATTTGTGACAGACATCAATTCTCAATTCAAATCCATAATCTTGTATTTATATATTTAAAAATATAAGTAGTTTTAGGGGGTGGGGATTTAGCTCTGCGACATAAGCACTTGCCTTACAAGCAGGCAGTTGTGAGTTCGATCCCCGGTACCAATAAAAAGATTATATATATATATATATATGTGTGTGTGTGTGTGTGTGTGTGTGTGTGTGTGTGTGTGTAGTTTTACAAAGAAAATTCTATTTTATGTTGAATGTCATATTCTAACCTACATTGCTTTTTTGATTTGTTTTTAACCCAATTCATTTATTCTGCCCTGAACTACAGTTATCTAATTGTTTTTCACCTTCTCTATTTGGTTCTGTAATAAATTTTGTATACTTCAGAGTTTGTAAACTTGAACCTACCAGGCCTACTCTTTATCTCTTCTTTGCTTATATCAGAAATAACAGTTTCTATCAGTTGTTGAGGCTAAAACCTCGATGCCTCCTCTCTCTGTCTAATGTTGTAATAGCTTCCCACCTGGTTTCATTGCCTGTTATCCTCATTCCAATCTGGAAGGTTCACCTATAATGCCATGGTCATTTTTCTGAAATAGACATCAAATCACATTTCTGTACTCAAAACCTGCTACCCAAAACCCTCAGAGTAAGGTCTGGAATCTTTATAACTACCTGAAGTCCATACCTGATGTTCACTGCTTGTCTTCCATGACTCCTCTCCTACACCTGCACCCTTGCCCTGCACGGTCTCCTCTGAGTCCACCGGCTCTCTGCTGTGGTGTCAGGAAAAGGGCGGGGCACATCAGGACAGAAGTCTCACCTGAGGAGGCAGCTTGAACAACTTTACAAAAGGTTTCCTTTTGGCTCCCAAGAGCCAGTTAGGCTTTCTCTCTGGTGTGTGAAACACGAAGTGTGCCTTAGGCTCCGAGCCACTGCATGTGCCTCTGAAAAGAAATTTTCTTAGATATTCCCTTGTCTTCCTTGGCTTTTCATCTTTTCTCAGTTGTCTCCTCAGATAGGCCTTCTCTTTCCCCATTTCCTAAAACAGCATCTTCCCTCACTCCTTTGCTATTACAAATTATAGCATTTTGGTAGACAATTACATCTTGCTGTTTCCCTTCATAGAATTTATTATCACCTGAGATGTATGAGGCACCGTCCAGAGGCCAAGGCTGAGGGAAAGATCAAATTTGATTTATCTGCGTACAGGCAGACTGACATGGGAGCAGCCTCAGCAGCTGTCTGGGGGGAGGCTAACTATATAGAGAGTTTAGAGTTGGGGTCACATGTGCTCCCCTAGCAGCACATGTACTAGAATCGGGGTCACAGTATCAAGGATCCAGATGAGACGTTTGAAGTCAGATTGGAGAGACAGTCAGCCCAGGTGTGTAGATAGACCTGGCACCAGGATGACTTCAAGTCAGGTCCTAAATTCATGTTTCCAGAGGGCACGTGGGCAGTGTTTTCACTGTCCATGGTAGAGGTTTTTGACGAATGAAATGATGTATCGATGTGTTTGCTTATTAAGGCTTTTCCTTGTCTATTGAACATAAACCTGTGAATGCCAAATGCATGGAACAGAATGCATACTCAAAACTGATCTTTCACTTTCCTCCTGGAGAGTTTAAGGTAAAATCTCTTCTGTGCCACAGGATGTGAGTTGGTTCGATGATCATAAAAATAGCACCGGAGCTTTGACTACCAGGCTTGCCACTGACGCTGCTCAAGTAAAAGGGGTAGGTACCACCTTTCTATTCACGATTGTGTTCATTCCATTTTGAACCTCAGCATGGTGGTGATTTTTTCAGCAGAGATGTTTATCATCATCATTAAGAAAATATTAAATACTAACCCCCCAATGACACATACTTTACAGCAAAATGTTGGCTATTAAAACATTATATACTCCACGGTATGTACATAATTGCTTTTCATATTCCTGTGTTACTAGTACTATTTATAAGATGCATGTAGAAGAACAATTACTTGGAAAAGAAGTATTTTTCAGCATATCATTTAGGACCAGGCTATTACAGTGGTCAATCAGCAGAAAATTGTAATTGCTCCTGAAAGAAGAGTGTTTGGAGTTGGCTTCAGGAGCCCCATACTGGGACATTGAATTTCAGAAGAAATGGAAAAAAGATTTAAAAAAAAAACAAGTGAAAAGCACATGGAAAATTAAAGCAAGTTTGAAAAGAATAAGTTTAATGTATTGAATTGTAATGTTTTGACTTTTAACTGAAATAATTTCTTTACAACTTTTCCTGGCAAAATGTACAAAATGATGAAGAATGTGATCTTTATTGTTGTACTCCTACCTTGAGCCTTACTAGTCTTTACATTTTAGTCTTCCTTTGAGACAATAATATACTAATAATTCTTCTATATAATAGATAGGACTTCTGTAAAAATAAGTTATGAAGCACATGGAGAGCTGCAGAATTGCAATGTGAATCTTTTTTTTTTTTTTTTTTTTTTTTTTGTCTTTTTCCTTTTTATCAGTACCGGGGATCTAACTCACGACTGCCTGCTTCCAAGGCAGGCACTTTTGCTGCTGAGCTAAATCCCCAGCCCCCTGCAATGTGAATCTTAAGAGTTACTGTTTTAACACAGTTCTCTTTGTTCAAAGCAAACATGTTTACAAAATCAATATTTAGGTCACATTGTATAAAACCTTGCACCAGAATGAACACTACTTAAAATGAGTTTGAACTTTTTTTAAAAAATTAACAAATTTTACATGTTCCTATAACATTTATCATGGAAAGCTGGTACATTTACACATGTCTTAATTATTATTTTTTTTTTTACTTCCACCTCCCTTCTCCTGAACTTCTTTAAAAGAAACAATGATCTTGCCTTGAAGGAGAGTCTGCATGGTTGGTCAGGTTGTCATAAAGTACTGTGCAGTGAGTGGAGGTGGGCAGTGTAGCTAGGGCCTGGCTGGTGGTCATAGAAGGAAGGCCCTAAAAATATGGTGATGTAGGCAAAATCTATGGTTTTCGACCGCCATCTAAAGCTGGCAGTCCATATAGGGAAGATCAAATGCCGTGGAAATTCCTCTACTGTGAACTTGGGGCATGTTCTGAATGCTTCACTCAGTCAGAAGCTGCTGTAGGAAATCAGGAAGCATGGACCCCGACAACAGGAGGAATTTACTTCATCTATGCTACAGATTCTGTACCTTTTGACCTTCACAAGAAATCCGTAAGACAGAGCTGACTTTGAAGACTCCTCCACTCTTTGACTTGTGCCAAATTTGCAAAATGTCACTTTGTTGTAAGCTCAATGAGTGCATCAAATAAAAATTAATGTGCTGTATTACTTTATTAAGGGTCTTCTGGCCCTACAAAAAATGTCTGGTATGGTGTTTATTATCTATAAAAGCAACTTGTGGTTGTAGCATCACACACCCCCCATCTCAGCCCAAGTATTTAGTCTAGTGATTGTATTGGAAATGTACTCAATGATTTTGTGGATGTTGAGGTGGGGGATTATAAAGAATTCTGGTCTAGAATTCAGAACAGATAGCTTTGCATATTAATCAATACACATGCTCATTTTGGTGTTGGAGGAGATTTGTTTAAAGTTGCAGACGTAGTGGTGGCTGTCCTAGATTGTACTTCACCAGTCTGAAACAGCCTTAGTGGGAAGAAGACATTTTCAGGGTAGAAAACAACATGGGCCACTTTCAGACAAAGCAGGTGTGGGATCCACAACAGGTATTTGGAAAAGCTGGAGGGTATAGGCTAGTCCCAGGGTGAAGGAAATGTGATGGACTGAAATATACAGTGGTGGACAGAACTGACTTTGTAGATTGACTTCTGGTTTTCGAGCTAGAAGTCATGGCACTCTGTTGAAAGTCATGCCCAGCTCCTTTTGGGTTCTGGATTGAAATGAAGATTCTGGTGAGTGCTTAATAAAAACTAAATTTAATGTAGTTTTTCCAAATCAGTTACAGGTTAAATAAATATAACAAGTATCTCAAGGTGTATTTGAATATCCTTAATAAAAACTTTAACCTTAAATTATCTAATATTGGAAATTTCTGTCAGTTTAATGTAATTTTCATACTTGATCTTGCAACCTGGCAGAACCCACTATATTGCTCATGCTTTGATTAATAAAGGTTGTCTTGATATTAAAAATCAGAATAGAGAAAAATGTAATTGAACTCTGGATTACTATACTTCTTTTGCATTTATTGAGAAGTCATGGAGATCCTCACTTTAGAAAACCAATAAACCATGTACAAGTAAATCTTTTCTCTCATAACTGAGAAGATAATTCATAGATTTTCAGGAAAAATAAACTGTCATAATCCTTAAAGTGTGTTGTGTACATGTATCAATTTCCCACAAAAATGCAAGCATTATTTCCTCAAGCATATACTAATAGAAAAGAATATACAAGCTTGGACTTTATAATACAAACATTTGCCTGTAATTTGTTTTGTTTTTCAGGCTATTGGTGCCAGGCTTGCTGTACTTACCCAGAATGTAGCAAATCTTGGGACAGGAATTATTATTTCTTTCATCTATGGCTGGCAGTTGACTCTTTTACTCTTAGCAGTTGTACCCATCATTGTAGTAGCAGGAGTCATTGAGATGAAAATGTTGTCTGGACAAGCACGCAGAGATAAGAAAGAGCTGGAAGTTTCTGGAAAGGCAAGTCAAAGAAAATATAATTGCTCATCTAAATAGAGAATAAAGTTTTGTTACTACCTGTCACTTACTATGCTCTGAAAATATTTTATAATCATTCCTCAAAGCAATATTGTTTATACTTAGATGAAGATTAGAAACTGAAAAATAGCAAACCCATCCTTTGGCTCAAAGACTGACCACACTTTTAATAGACCATTGTACACACACTCTTCTCTCTTCCTTTCCCTCCCCTTCTTGCTTCAGTTCTTTATTGATTTCTTCCTTCTTCTGCCTCTCCACCTTTTTGCTTTCTTTCTACCTCTTTGTTTCTTTCAAGTAAGCTTAAATCTGTTGATTATTTAGGACACTAGGCCCAGTTTGTTACATATGTAGGAAGATTCAGTATGGAAAATTCTAAGAGTGTTTATTTTATATGGTTTAAATGGTGGCTACTCTTTCACTTTTACCATGTCTCCTCCCTTCATCCTGCTTCTCCTTCCCATGATACTTTTTGGTCTGCATGGATGTCTCTTTTTTTTTCCCCTCACTATTTACAAAATATGTGGTACTCACTGTGTTTCCTGCAAAGGTTTTATCCCTTATCACAACCCTGAAGGAGGTTCTCTTATCCACTTATGGTTCAGTGGCCCCAGTGTCTGAGCACTGGTAAGGTTTGCAGTTAGGATACAAGCTCAGACAATTGTGCTTCCGTGAGCTAGAAAACAAAGAAGTCCTCTGATGGCACAGCATGATCTCATAGGACACGATCAGGATCATGGCAGAAGTGAGCGATGAGAAGAGGGCTTATCCTAGAACTGGTCCTGATGTCTAGACAGGGAAGCATCCAGCAGTGGACATTCCAGGTCCCCAGAGTTAGGGCAGTTCCAGTCAGGTGAGTGTGGCTCTGGCTCTCAGCAGACTTGGGTGACATGGGCCAGGAGCCTCATCGTGTGAATGACGAGGCAGGTCCTGGACGTTGTTCCTCACCTCACATACTTTGTCCTCTACATGTGTGCATGTCCTCAGACTCTCTGCCTTGTTGCCTTCTGATTTTTTAGTAAAATCTTTTAGACCAGCTTTAGGATCTCCCAAACAGTGTCTATGGGACACACATCTCCCAGAAGGCACAAGCTCTGGGAAGGGTTGGGTTGACACCCAGAGTCTGCTTGTAGTCCAGATAACCTTGGCCCTGGCCATGTACAGAACCTATTCTTTGCCAGTAACTTCACTTATTAATGTACTCTTGAGTTTCTTTCCCCACATGGAGTTGACTCTTTTATCTGAGGAATATATAGCAAAATATAGGGCAAAACTGTGAAAAAGAAAAATCACAGTGTCATTAGTGAGATATTGGAACTATCATAATAAGGAGTTATAAATTGTTTCTGGGAAGAAGACCACTGATCCTAAGGTAATTTATTGGTCTCCAAGGTCAACATGTTGAAGCAGTGTATCACAGGCAAGACTCTTGGAGTCTGTCAGGGGAATGAGAGGTGTGTAGATGGATGTAGGTAAGTGTGAGTAAGGCAGCTTTTCTTGGTAAACTTCAGGAAGGAGATACAAGCCATAGTTCAGTGATGACTCCTGGGAAGGATGAAGGTGCAGAGAGAAAATGATAATAATATTAAAAATCAGCTCGATTCTCAGATTATCATTTATTGAATATTATATACTATGTAATACTCGTGTAACTCTTCACATATTATCTGATTTGATACTTTCAAGAATTCTGTTGAAATTCAGAAGAGTTAGTAACTAAACTTCATTTCAACAAATTAGACTTTTGATGAACATAGATGCAAAAGTCCTCAACAAGTTACTATCAAACAGAAAGCAGCACATCATCAAAAAGATCATGCATCGTGATCAAGTAGATATAATTCCAGAGATGCAAGGATGGTTCAGAATATGCTAATCAGTAAATGTAATACATCACATAAACAGAAGTAAGGTCAAAATCAACACGTCCATATCAATATATGCAGAAAAGGCTTTTGACTAAACCCAACTTTATGATAAAAACCTTGAAGAAAACAGATATAGAAGGACAGTTGCTGACTTTACTAATAGATTTGTGGAAAAACTTACACTGACATCATATTCAATGGAGAAAAACTGAAAATATCCTCCAAAAATTCACACTGACCTCATATTCAATGGAGAAAAACTAAAAACATCCTCCCTAAAATCAAGAACAATAGATGACCAATATCACCTCTTCTGATCAACATAGTGCTTGGAACATTTTCCATAACAATTAGGCAAAGAAAAAAAAAATAAAAAGAAATACATATTGGAAAGGAAGAACTCAAATTAACAGTATTTTCAGATGACATGATACTTTCTGTAGAAGACTCAAAGAACTGCACCAAAAGACTCTTAAAATTAATAACCAACTCCAGCAATATAGGAGGATACAAAATCAGCATGCAAAAATCATTAGCATTTGTGTACACAAATACTGAAATCAGTGGGAAGGAAATTATGAAAATACCATTCATGATAGCATCAAGAAAAATGAAATTCCTAGGGGTTAACCTAACCGAAAAAGTTTGATAGATCTCTACAAAGAAAATTAAAGAAGGCATCAGAAAATGAAAGATGTTCCTTGCTCCTGCATAGGCAGAAACAATATTGTCCAAATATTATACTCCCAAATACAGATTCAGTGCAGGCCCAATCAAAATATCAAAAGCATACTTAACTGATCTAGAGAAAAGAATCCTAATGTTCATATATAACTAGAAGAGACCCAGAAAACCAAAGACAGTATTGGGCAACAAGAACAAAACAGGAGTATCACATTACTTGACTTCAAGATATGCTACAAAGCAGTAGTAATAAAAATGGCATGGTAACTAAAACAGAAATGTGAATCTATGGGACAGAGTAGAGGACACAGACACATCCCTAGGCACATTCAGCTTTAAAAAAGGGGCCAAAGCATACAACAAATAAGCAAATGAAACAGTGGGAGGAAAGATAGCCTTTTCAATGAATGGTGCTAGGAAAACTGGATATCTGTTTGCATAAGACTAAAACTGATCCATGTCTTTCACTGTATACAAAATTAAAATCAAAACAGATCAATGATCAAGAATTAAAACAAATACTAGTCCTGGAAGATAAAAGTATGTAAAACACTTGAAATCATAGGGATAGGAAAGGATTTCCCCAAACAGAACCATAACTGCATAAGAACCAACAGCAAGAATCAACAAATGGGATTATATCAAATTTAAAAATTTTCTGCACAGCAAGGGAGTAATTTAGTATAAAGAGACAACCTACAAATAGGAAAAAATTTTTTGCCAGCTATTCCTCAGAGGACTAATACCAGTTTTCTCTGTTTTAATCAGAGAGTAATGTTTTTAAATTTAGTTTGTGAAGAAATTTTTTAAAAATTTAAAGAAGTCATTTTTTCTTCAAATAACCTTTTGCATTAATTATCAAAAATTGAAATTCTATTATATTTGCTTTTGTATTTGTAGTTAGATAATCAGTGTAGGACTCAATGACAAAGACTTCATGTTTATTATTTTTTTTCATGTTTGTAACTTTTAACGTGTAAACTACTCTAAGTTAATGGGATATGTCTTTGTTAGAATTACTTGTGAGCAGTATGGTAGCCAGAAGTACAAGAGCATAGGAAGAGCATATCTTAAAACATTATAATTTCTTTTGGTGACCTGTAATTGTAGAATTTGAGGGACCGTAGAGACACTTTAGTCTATCCTGTTCATTTCACGGTGAGGAAAATAAGACAGAGCAGTAATTTAAGGTCCCGTGGCTGACATGCTGAATCTCACTGAAGACACTGATGTTCATCACATTCTCCACATCCTTTTACTCAGAATCCAAATGGTGGTAAAGCAATTGATCTTTTAGGAAGTAACATGTAATTAGGACATATTCAAATGACAGAAAGTTTCTGGATAAAATTGATAATGTAATATGTTCCTTAAAAAGGAGTCTGTTTCCTTTGACAAAGTAATCTCAATCTTAAGGACTTTCCTAAGAATATCACTCAATATGTATAAATGTTAAAGTACAAGAATATTTACTACAAATTATTTTTAAATAAAACAATTGGAAATATAACAATAAAGGCATACCTCACCTAGTTGAAGGATATTATATGACCACTAGAATCTCATTATTAATGTATACTTATTGACTTTGGGAAGTACTCATGATACTTATTAAAGTGAAAAATGATGAACAACCAGAAAAAGAATTCTGTCCCCATTCAGTGGAAGACTTAATAAGCCAGGTGTGGCATATGCCTATTATGACACCTAACTGGGCATTAGAGGCAGGTTGATCACCAAGTTAAAGGACAGCGTGGGTAAGTTACTGAGCTCTGCTCTTAAAAAAAAAGTCTGGGGCTATAGCTCAGCAGTCGAGAGACTAACCTATGCATGTGCAGGGCCTCAGTTAACACAAAATGTGTATGTGTGTATATTTAGGAAAGATAAAAAGCAATATATTACCTAATAACATAAAGCATAAAATGCAATGTAGCTTCCATATTTTTTCAACATTTTCCAAATACTGAGTTGTCATGAATGGCAGTTGAAAAGACGGACTTAAAATTATCATATTTTTTTAAAACATAGAAAATAAACCTAAAAGTGTGACCATTATAGAAGAAAGAGCACTGAAAATGTAAACCATCAAGTTCTCAGGTTAGTGTTATAAAGCTATGAGGCTTCAGGGAGTGACCTTGTCCCTTTAAGCCTAAATTTGTAACTGTCAAGCTGGGAAAATTCAATTAGTTGATCTCCCTTCCATGTCTGAAATTTAATTTGGTATGTTTCTTTTGTGTTCTTTTCCATAGAGAAGATGCTCTAGGTAATACTAAATGCTTACTGATAGTATGCATTATAAACTAATTTTACTAGCCTATGAAATTCAAATTAACTGCCCCTATTTGCCCTGCGCCTCTTGGTGACGGGTGACGTCTGTTGCAGATTGCTATTGAGGCGATAGAAAACTTCCGAACCGTCGTGTCCTTGACCCGGGAGCAGAAGTTTGAGCATATGTATGCACAGAGTTTGCAGGTGCCATACAGGTAATAAGCACTGAGGAGTGAGAGGGAAGTGTGAGCAGTTCTTCAGATCATTTCAGAACATAAGATCCAAGTGGAGAAAGTACTAGAAATGAGCCAAAGGGACGGGGCTTGTGATTAACAAGGAGAGAAGTGCTCAGAACCCAGCTGGGGAGCGCATCTCTGCAGTAGAACCTGGAATGGCTGCTAATTCCTGAGAGAAGGAGCAGACAGTGAGAATAGCTCCCTGTCATCCAAGTTTGGATAGAGGTATTATTTGCTTCAGTTGAGGAATCGATCTCTTTATGAAACATGCATTTAGAAAGTGTCTGCGGACACTGAGGAGCAGTGCTTCCAAAATATACTGTCCATAGCTTTCCTCACCTCTCCTTCAGTAGAAAACTTCCTTTACCATCTCACTGAGAGCTCTTATACATGGTGTGAACATGAGCAAACCCAACCACTGTTTCCTCTCTGGTAAAAAGAGAGCTAGAGTTTCTTAGTGGGTTGTCAAATATTTTCTTTAGTGATAGTACAGCCTTTTTTCCTGAAGAGGCTATTATTTGAAATCCAGCTACATGACAAAAAAAGCCAAGTTGATATAGCTGGAGCAGGCAGAGGAAGCCTAGAGGGCTTCACATCGCCCCCCCCCCCATCCTGCCTGTACCACCACATCACTGAATTCTATGTCCCTGAGAAAACTTACAGGAGTCCTACGTCTTTGTAATAATGCCTTTTCTAACTCTACCAGAGTAAAGTCCTTTCTCTTTATTTCCTGTAGCATGTTATTCATAAGGTACCATCATTGGGTGAGTGACTATCCAGCTTAACTCCTAGGTTCTCAAGGTCAAGGAACATCCCTGTTCCTCTGTTTGGACCCTGAAGTTTGCACATGTTAGGTAGATGTGTGGACTACTTAACTGACTACACAGAAAGCATCTGTTCTATGTCTGATATTTGGGGAAAAAAGGAGTTAACTTTCATTTATTAATTCCTTAAAGGCTCTGTACAGAATTCACAGGCTTAGTTAATTACTATGTCAATACATTGAAGTATAGCTAACTGATTATTTCATTAAAGATAAAGATACTGAGGCTTAGAGTTGAGGCACATAACTAAATTAACATGGCTGGTGAGTAAAATGAGGATGAGACTTAATTCTTTTGAAACTAAAGAGATTTTTGATTGTGTTCTTCTGTGTCCTCTGCCATGCTATGAAAAGTTACATTTTCAGGACTGAGAAATGAAGATGAAATAATTTTTCATATGTCTTTTCAGAAACTCTTTGAGGAAAGCACACATCTTTGGACTCACGTTTTCCTTCACTCAGGCAATGATGTATTTTTCCTATGCTGCTTGTTTCCGGTTTAGTGCCTTCTTAGTGGCACGTGAAATCATGAATTATGAAAATGTTATGTTGTAAGTATTGGGTTAATATTGACAATTTAACCCTGAAAGTATACTTGAGATCAACATGCTTCTGGTCTGGATAGAAAACCTCTTGGTGAAGAGATTTTGGTGACTGAGATCGTGGCATTTTGCCTCTGAGTTTCCATGTATTCTCATGAAAACAGCTATTTATTGATAACTTCTCTTCCCAGTGGATATCACACATATCTAACCTTTTTACAGGTATCTGCTACAATGCTGCCTACTTGTTGAAGTGCCACCTTTCAATAGCAATGCAGTTGTAACTGTGCCTGTGTATCCTCTGTTCTCCAGGGTATTTTCAGCCATCGTCTTTGGCGCCATGGCAGTCGGACAGTTCACTTCGTTTGCCCCTGACTACGCCAAAGCCAAAGTGTCAGCCTCCCACATCATCATGATCATGGAAAAGGTCCCTACCATTGACAGCTACAGCACAGCAGGCCTGAAGCCAGTGAGTTTGAGGTTCCCAGTATATGATCTGCTCCTGATTGCTGAGTAGAAGTATTCAAAGGGGAAATATAATAAAATATGTACTTTCCTATATGATGGTCACAGTGTAAAATATGTTCTAGGTTATAGGTTTATTTTACTGAGTGCTGTTAATATGTTCTGATTTTTATATGACAAAATCACAGAAAGATAAGAGTACTACCTGCTTTATAAATAAATCCTGTTAATCGTGTTTTCTGATCTGTAGGTTACTGGCTTCTAGCAGAACAGATTTATCTCATTTGTACTGTATATTTATATTACCGAACAATGCCTGCCATAAAAGCAGTGGCTCTTTTATATCATGTTTATTAAATTCTAGCTGTTTGACATAAATTTTAACACCAATGCTATGTTTCCCTGAAAATAAGACCTAGCCGGAAAATAATTAACCTTGAAAACAAGAGATGATAGCTGCCGGCCGCAGTCTAGCCTCTTCTGGCCTTACCTGCCTTACAGAGTAGCCACTGAGCAAGAGAATAGTGATGGCCAGGAAGGGAAGGATGGGCTGACTGGGGCAGACATGTTTGATCTCTAGTTTTCAAGGCTGTTATTTTCCTGATAGGTCTTATTTAACAAGGTAGGAGTTCACTGCCTTCTGACCTCGGTGTATTGTGGCACTCAGACTCTGTTGCTGTCCTCGTTTTAGAATATGCTAGAAGGAAATGTGACCTTCAGCGATGTTGTGTTCAACTATCCCACCCGACCAGACATCCCAGTGCTTCAGGGGCTGAGCCTGCAGGTGAAGAAGGGCCAGACGCTGGCCTTGGTGGGCAGCAGCGGCTGTGGGAAGAGCACTGCAGTCCAGCTCTTGGAGCGGTTCTACAGCCCCTTGGCCGGGACGGTGGTGAGTCAGCTTCATTTTAGGCTTTTCATCCTCTAACCACCTGGATATGATTCAGTCTTCATGACAGACCAGGGTTTTTCACACCTTTACGCCTCTTAGATGAAACCTGACAGCTTAGGTTTAGTGCTTAGCTGTGTCATCTGCCCAGCTGACTTCTCTGTCATCTCCCGCCACGCCATCCCTCAGCCACCTTTGTGAACTTCCTTCTTACCATGCATGTCTCTTGCCAGGATTAAATTTCAGCAGACACCAAAGAGGCAGCAGAAAGCAAAGTAGTCAGAAGTACAGAAAAGGGATGCTAGGAGAAACAGAGTAGATGAAAGCCAAGGATGAGACGTGTTTCAAGAAGATGATCAGTAAGGGCAGATGCCGTGGAGGGACTAGGTAAAGAGGACACGCAGACCTGGTAGCTTCCGGCACACACAGGCACTTTCTGGTGTCTCCTACTCTCAAGGAAGTGCTGAGAGTGGGAAAGAGCTGATCCTGTCTAAAGGATATTTAGAAGGAGAAATTCACGTTTAAGTCTTGGTAAACTATTATGAAGATCAAAGCAGGAGGTAACTAAGAACAGTTTGAATAGGAACATTTTAAAGTGGAAACTCTTGCACATTTTTAAGACATAGGGTGAGAAAGGCCAAATAGTGATGGAGAGAGAACGTTGAATCATCTTCTGAGGCCCAAAAAATCCCTAAGTCAAAAGCAAGATCAATGTATTTGGGGAGTGAATAAAGAGTGTGTAAGAACGCCCTTTAGTTTTCTACTCTGAATGATGTCAGAATTATTTATTCAGCAAAACTCTGGGGGACTGTCTTAGTGCCAGACTTGAGATCAGAACCGTAAGAGAATAATGGATTTAAGTTATTTTAATGATGGATACAAAACAGGAAAGAATGCAAATTAGAAAATTAATTTTCATTATGTGGGAAGTTAGTTATTGATCCTACTCAAAGGTAATGTACAAAATATTGAATGAATGGAATAATATGGTCACTAACCAATAGACTTATGCTTTCTGGCTCCATGTTTTCTTACTTGAGCAACAACTGAAATATAAAGAGAATTTTCATCCTTGAGTCACAGGTCCTTTATCTATTTCCCCATGGCAATTAATCTGTTTCTCAGGAACATTTTTATTACATTCAAAGATAGTTTTAGGTTTGCTCCGTCTTCTTGAATTAATTACAAAAAGCTTGCTTATTTTTAATGAAAGATAGATTTTTTTTGTTGTTGTTGTTTTTTGTACTGGGGATTGAACTCACAACCTTGCACTTAGCAGGAAAGCACTTGAACCACTGAGCTACATCCCTGGCCCAGCTTGCTTACTTTTATTCCTGTTTTATTTTTTCTACAACATCTGATTTGTTACAATTTCATGGTTAATTTTTGAACATAGGACACTAAGTGAAGTCCCCACTGATATCTAAAGCAATTAGAAGAGAAAATATGAACTTTCAGACTCTAACGAAGGTCCTCACAGACTTCTATTAAAAAATATGATAAATGCCATGCTATAATGAGTTACAGGGCATAGTGTCTGCCTTCACACATGAAAAGTGAGAAGACAGGTGTAAACTTCCATGCATTAGATTAAAGTAGTTAGACCTTGAAGTTTTCTTGGGGGTAAATAATATTTGATGATGGGTGAATAGTAGAGATCATAGTGCAAGAGATCATGTGGGCTGTGGTTGATAAATGATTTGATCCCAGGACAACACAGGACAGTTTAGGTGAAATAGAGAAGTAACAAGAGTAATGATTCTCAGATTTTTCAGATTGTTGGCCATTAAAGGTTCAGAAATTTCAAAGATAGTCACCCTTCAGGGGAATAAATACTTGGTAATAACCGAATGTTGGAGTTGAAAATAATAACAGGAAAACAGATATGCCAAAAGGGAGTAATTAATGATTATTCTGTAAGTACAAACACAAATAGCAAATAATTTAAAAGATGGACAGTATAATACAGTTGAGTTGAGGAAACAGAAATCATTATAGGTCTGTCATGAAGATAAGAATTTAATAAAGGGATGAGGTGCTTCTTCTTTGAAAGGGCTGAAAGAGAGGATGTTAAGGAGACTGTCCCAAACTTTCCTAGTCACAGCACTATAGCTAGGATCCTAGAACCAGATATTGGTCAACAATCACACCTTTTCATAGTTCTTCCAAATCTAAAGATACAAGAGCAGGGCCTGACTGTTACAAAAATGCCCACCTGGTGTAATGCATGTATTAGTTTACCTAATACCTCTCCGGAGGTAGAGGAGGATTCACCTCTACCTCCAGATTTTACTCGGTGGCTCTCACTGGTAGAACCTAACTTACTTGCAGAACCAAGGGAGCCTGGGAGAATATTTAGTCTTCTAGTCCATCATATGTACAAAGGGGTGGTCCACTGAGTGCATAGGGTAGGGACCTTCTCAGGACAGTGCAGATGATACACTGAAAACAAAATGTTTTCGTTTATTCCGGGAATATGCAGTATCTGCCTCAGGTGTTTGAATTAGATCATTAAATACTGTCAAATGATACAGGGCAAGAAGTGTCATGCAGATATCCAAGCAAAGGTGCCAAGCTTTGTTTAAAAATAACCAGTGGCCTTTTATTTTTATCTTTCCTGGGTGATTCTGATGGCCAGCTATAGTTAGGGAACTGCTGAACTGGTAAACTTGAAAGAAGGTTTAGGCTAAATTGTGGGAAATCTTGAAATATTAAGCAGCAGTATTGTGAAGAATGAAGGATCTGAATAATGGAATCCTGAAAGTTATAAAATTTTAGGCATTCTGGTTAAAGAAAACAAAACAAAATTTTGGATTGAAAACTATATGCAAAAGTGAGTATGTGATGCAAATGGATAACATTACAACAGAATCTGAATATTAGCACCATAAAGATCTTGGTCTCAGGTTCCTTTTGGAAACATGGTAATTCCTTCTTATGCCCTTGCATCCCTACCGCCTAGGATCCTGGCCAGCAAGGAGCCTGCGAGGGAAGCCAACAGATTCTGGCCTCAGCAGCCTCAGCAGGCAAAAGGTGCTCACTGCCCCAACCTCCCAAAAACTTGGACAGCAGAGTTTTGTGGAACTATAGTAGATGCTGAAGTGACAGGAGAGGCTTTTGTAGGACTGCTAAATTGTTTGCAGATTGCCCAGCGAAGGTAAAAAGATCTTAGTGTTACCTCACTTCAGTTTGGCTTTCAGAAGATGATCTTCTTGTGCGTGAAAAGTTTAATATCTGACTATGGTGTTTAATAATATTGAATTACATTTTGTAGTATGCCATGCACTGGTCTAATATTTTAAAAGTAGGGCATAGATTTTTCTTTTTCTTTCATTTCATAAGCTAGCTGTATTTCTCTCTCTCTTTTTTTACTTTAATTAGTACACATTTGCAGTGCATAATGATTACATTTCCTGTAGGGAGTTGGTACATGTATATAACACATTTCAGTTCTATTTCCCCCCTTCTGTATATACCTCTTTTATTTTTTCCAGCATCAGATTCATTTATTTATAAGATCTTATGAACTTAATTATCATATACACAGGTTGAAAATCACACTAATAAGCCAAAGAACATATAAAACATGTAAGACTAAATCAAGGTGTACTTTTAGATACATTGTCCCCACTGGATAACAACACTTTTTTCTCCTTTTTTTTTCTGTTATCTGTCTTTTTATTTTGGATTATGAAAAATTCTCTCTGTAGAGGCAGAGTTTTTCATATTGGAGAGACCATATGATATTTAGCTTGTGGGTTTGACTTACTTCACCTAACATTATAGTCTTTAAATGCATCCTTTTTTCCTATATATGACTCAAATTTATCCTTCTGTCTTAGTTACCTTTAACTTGTCACTGAGACAAAATACCTGATGCCTAAAGTTGGGAAAGGAAAGGCTTATTTCTTACAGTTTTTGGAGGTTTCAGTCTCTACTCAGTGGGCTCCAAAGCAGGGTGGGATGGTGGGGCTGCAGTTCATGGCGGCTGCAAACAGCAAGGCAGAAACTGGCAAGAGAGCAAGACACACCTTCTTCCTGCCATTACATTACATCCTGACTCCACCCCTACGTGGGTTTAGCACTTACACTATCAACCCAAGCGCTAGACAATGAACCAATCACAAATGCATAATGCAAACACATGAGGTCTGGAAGCCACCAACATAAACCATGATACCTTCTTTATGGCAAAACAGGACTCCACTCTGTATAAGTACCAAATTTTCTTTATCCATTCATCTGTAGATAGACATATGGGCTTAGTTATAATTTCACTGCTATAAACATAGGTATGCATACTTCTAAATATTTGGGGAAGATATTAGGAAGAGGGATAGGTAAGATAAATGGAATTTCTATTGTTAGATTTTTTTGGAGGAATTTCCTTACTGATTTCTATAGTGGTTATACCAATTTACACTCCTGTCAACAGTGGAAAGGGATTCTTTTTTGTCACGGCCACACTAGCATTTGTTATTGGTTGATTTCTTGAAAATAGTCATTCTTTTTGGAGTGAAGTAGAATCTCAGTGTTGTTTTAATTTGCATTTCTTGAATGGCCAGCAATGTTGAGCATTTTTTCATGGATTTATTGTCTATCTGCATTTCTTCATCTGAGAAGTGTCTATTCATTTCACATGCCCATTTCTTGACTGGCCCTTTAATTTTAGGTGGTATAATTTATTATTTTCTCTATGTATTCTAGATATTTGTCCTTTGTCTTAGGAGTAACTGGTGAAATTTTTCCCTGTTCTGTAGGTTGTCTTTTTATTCTGTTGGTGGTTTCCTTTTCTGTGAAGTTTTTAATTTGATGCAATCCTGTATATTGATTCATAGTATTATTTCTTATGCAACTGGAGTTTTGTTCAGAAAGTCTTTATCTGCACCTATGTCTTCATGAGATCTACCTATTTTGTCTTTCAGCAGATTAAATGCTTTTGTTCTACTGTTTAGATCATTGATCCATTTTGATTTTAGTTTAGCATATGGTAAAAGATATGG